CTACTACTCCTACTACCACTACCACTACCACTACCACTACCACTACCACTACCACTACCACTACGACTACTACTACTACTACTACCACCACTACCACTACCACTACCACTACTACTGCTACTACCACGACTGAAACCGTTAGAACCGAAGTCCAAGACCCCAGTATCTCTCCACCCGAAAGCCTGCACACAGCGACAGCTCAGAAACCCCCTTGCCCAAAATTGTTTTCAATACCGCTCAACCAGTCTCAACAGCGGTTTGAACAACGACCGTGGCCACTTAAGAAATGACTACTGCAACTTTCTCATCACTGTTATATTCCAAAACACCAAGAAACGACACCCAAGAGTAGCTCTCACAGACATGACCGACCTTCTTACGAAGGTATAAGCCCAACACCATCAACCCGACTCTGAACCCTTAACCAACAGCTGAGCCATGGGCCTGCAAGCAGCTTTTGTGAAGTCTACTTTCTAGCAGATGACCCTCGAGTCCTCCTTCAGAACCTCTACAGACTTGCAATGCAAGATGCGCACAACAGCTACCTGAAGCCGTAAAACCAAAACTCACCAAAATCCCTGACCTCTCGAAGCCAACCAAGACCCCAAGCCTTAAAACCTAACGACAAGCTCAGACCCTAAAGCGTGGAGGGCTTAGGGTTCAGAGTCAGAGTTTAGGGCTTGGGGTTTAGAGAGTTGAGGGTTTGCCTGATTCCCACATGACCTGCCGTTTTAAGGACTTATACAATGAAACCAAATTAAGAAACCCTAAAAAGGGTGGGTTTCTTGGGGTCCGGGTAGGGCTTAGGGCTCTCAGCCCTGAGGACCTCGAGGTCGACAGGGTTGTGGACGATTTTCTCAACCTTCTGGACCTCCCAGACGTTCGAAGGCTTGAAGGGGCCATAGGGTGTAGGAGTTCTAGGAGTTGAAGTCTAGGGTTTCGGGTGTAAGCTTCAGGGTTTAGGTTGAAGATGGCGTAAGTTGAAGGTTAAGGGCTTGAAGTTCTTGGCTTAGGGTTTAAGACTCACTGGACTAGCAGCTGTTGGTGCTTCAGAGCTGGAGGAGTGACGACTGGGGTTAAGCATGATGAGTCACAACCCTACGGATGATAATGCTGGACCCCTAGACCCTACAGACCCTACAAACCTAAACCCACCCAATTAGCCGCCTATAAACCCCAAAAGAAACCTACAAGCCCCATACAGACCCAACAAGCGGAGGTTAAGCAACGCATCGTGAAGTGAAGAGGAACTGAAACCCGAGCTCTATGCTCCGACACGTAACCCCCAAAGCTGAAACCACAGAACTCCGTGAATCAGGCTGTTTACGGTTTAGGGTTTTGGGCTTAGGGTTCCGGGAGTTCAGGGTTAAGGCTTTAGGGTTAAGGCTTTAGGGTTTAGGCTTTAGGATCATTTTCCAGGGCTTTTGGTGAGTGTATGTGGGGCTCCTTCGGTGTATTATGGTATATGTTGGTCTTCCAGTTTCGAACTTTATCATGAGGTACCACTAGGAACTAGGGCAGCCAAGATTACAACATCCAGGTCATATCTAAGCAGAACTCTCAACCCTCAACACCCACGACACAAGCGCAGCTACGCCCACAAAGCTCTACGGGTACATATCCTGGTTTCGTTTTACTTTGGCATTTGGATTCCTGCGCAGTGTCCTGCATTTGGTCCTAACCGTAAACAAAAAAAAAACGACCACTGGGCAGCCCCTTGCATACAGACACTACATTCATGTAGTTTCTGTCCCTAAACCCTAAACCTTCAGAGTTCCAAAGGACACCTTCGGGACTTTAGCCGCGTCAGCAAGCAGAACTCGGCTAGGGAATGGGGGTTTAGGTTTGGGGCTTAGGGTTTGGAGCTTAGGGGTGTAAGGTTTGAGTCGTTTTACAAGGCCTTGGCACGGCTTTCGCACCCCTCTGAGCATTTTTGCCACAGTGATTGGGTAGGAACCGTTGGAATGGCCAGCCACTGCCCCGAACCCAAAACCCTACCACCCTTGAGGGTCTTCGAAGGTGTTCCCATGCCTTCGGAACATGCACGATTTGCTCGACGCGCTGCTCCACCGGGACATCCACAATCTCCTGGCAGCAGCTTCCCAAAATCCCAACATATGGCCCGTTGACAGTTAAAATACCTTCTTGGTGGAATGTCGGGTTCCAAAGCCCTCAGGCCGTGGGTGCAGAGTACAGGGTTGCAGGCTTACCTGATCTAGGCAAGGTCTTCCAACATCCCTTAATTAAGGAATATGCCGTAAATTATAGTAGGATCCTTAAATGATTTACGGTATATTCCTTGATGAAGGGGTATTGGAAGAATCGGGTAATAAGATGAAAAGGATTTCACAAGTGTTTCTTGAAAAAGTTCTATAAGGTTTACTATCGGGGATACTATGTGAGTTTCGAGAACGGGTGCTTCATAATTAGACTGCGGCCTAGGGTTTAAGGGTATGCTGTCCTATACTTATATTGGGGGAACCGTAAGGAAAAGTGCTACCACTTCTCCAGGCTCCTGTAATTCCTATTCTACTGGGACAATACGATTTTCTGTTTAGTGTTAGGTAGCTGTAGCTGGCAGAACACACCACAAGACTTGCTGAGGAACACACAAAACCGGGAAAGCTCATTTGCAATATAGGGGCCCCAGTTAAGGGGACAGTTTGTATTGGGACTAGAAAGGGGTAGTATTGGCATTACTAAGACCCCTAGTATCAGTGGCGGTGGTCGTCGCCGTCCTGATTCAGTCGCTGCCATCGTCGTAGTAGGAATAGTAAAAGTAACAATAGCAGTTAGGGTTCAGGGTTACGATCAAGAGTTGCTGGCCCATAGCCTTATGCAACGAGAACAGTACAGCAACAGTTACCGCATGCCGCATAATCCTGACATGCTACACGTGAAGTCGCAAGCAAACCCCCAGGCGCAAACCTCCAAGCCTCAAGCCCTAGCAAAACAGGCTCGACTCTGGACCAAGTTCTCCCGCTGGCTACCTCGACGTGGAAGTGGTGGGCGCGTTCCTGCTGAATCACCTTCGGCACATGAACCACCTGCTCCTGGCATGCGGTTCAAGGCCTTACGACGTTGTAAGGTGGGCAGGTTTCAGGGCAGATACGCCGGACGGTCAGGTTGGTTTGCCGTGGGTGTTGGGTGTAACGGTGTAATCAGTCTGTCCGCCACTACCTCGGTCCCTGTTCCAAAGGATTATACCACGAAGCTGACGACACGAGCAGTGCAACAGCAACTATAACCATGATGATGACAGTACCTCAAACTTCAGCCTAAAACCACAGCAGCCATGTTGGAGGTCCTGCGTCATGGGCACATGGACTTCGACCACTTGCTCCACGTGTTGGTGCATCACCCGCTCCTGCCGGGAAGGAGGTTCGGGTCCGGAGGTACCCCAGAAACCATCAACGACTAGCCTAAGGGCCCCCAGTACTTCAGGATTGAATTCGAAGGATACTTTGGCAGCTCGAGGCTTCAACATCCATTGCCAACAAAAGCTAAGTTGCAGAGAGACTTCGGCAGACCTGTTCGGGGTTTAGGGTTCCGGCAAGCGGGCCCCGCTGCCGGGTCGGATCTGATGGGTTGAGGGCTTACCGAAGGGACGTACTGACAGACCACAAAAAAACCCAAACCCTAGAACCCCAAACCGAACGCATCCCGGCAAGCTCCTGCTCAATGACCTTTGGCACGTGGACGACCTGCTCCTGGTTTCACCGCTGGGGCTTTGGACGAGTGTTTTTTCATAAGGTTTCAGCACGTCAGAGGTTTCATAAAAGAGCTTTAGCCGGGCTCTAGATGTGTTTGCGTTTGGGATTTAAGGCAATTGTTCGAAACTAAGCGACTTTCCGTGGTTGGGTCGCGAATTAGTGTAGTTAGCGGGGTGAAGGGTGAGTTGGATGTTGTTGTTGTACGTGTTGTTAACTAAAGCCAATTTCGATTCAGCTTGATCAAGTACTTCAGTTGTGGAGCCTACGCCACCTCTGACCCTTGTCAGCAGTCTATCTGCTATCACGACATGCCAGACTTGATGTCTATTGCTCTTTGCAAGCCGATTGAGCAGTGTTTGGTAGTACAGTCACCTCTTGCGAAAATGGCTATGCAGTGCTCAGCTGAGACGGATGCTGGAGCCTGACCCACAGCGGGGTCTTGTGTCATATTACATAGGCCTAGTGGCTGTCCCTAGTGATTAGTGCTACCGTCGATCAAAAGTAATTCTGACAATGAGAGCTGTAAAGCTTGAGAAAACCCTTCACGACCCGAAGCGAGTCTCAAAGCGGTCACAAACATCCAGCCCGCGACTAGGCTTCAGCGTTGAGGGTTTAGGGTGTGTGGTCCTTTTCAGGGTTCCCAATCGATGCCCGGAAAACCTGACACAGCGGCCCGAGCCTTAAGCCCTCATGGAGCAGACCGCACTAGAAACTCCAAATCAAGGCAGAAAGCACACTTGATACAAACCGTAACATGCAGAATTTTGAACAAAAACAGAAAGCCTCGCAGAGGCTCTATGCACTGCTCTGAGTCAATTCGAAATGAAAATCCTAGAATCTTCTTGCCATGCCCTATCAAAACCTTATGAAACCCGATTGAAATCCTGCTTGGCAAGAGAATACGGAGGAAGAACAAAAGGCAGTCGCCAACCCAAGCCCGAAACCCGAACGGACCTGAACCTTGGGTCCTGAACCCCAAAACCCTGAATCCTAAACCCTAAACTTTCCAAAGCCTCAAGACAAGCCCTGAAAATACCAAGCCCGTGCCGACCTGGACCTGCATCATGGGCACTTCGACCACCTGGCGAGCACCAGTGATCAGCTATGAGTTAGGGCTCTGTAATCAGGGTTTAGGGTTTAGGGTTTAGTTCCGTATTCAGGGTTTAGGGTTATAAGGGTTTCTTATTCAGGGCTTGGGTTTGGCGGCTAGCGTTTAGCCTATAAGTACACATTCAAGCAGCTTCAGAGGCTTTGGCGCTTTTAGGATGTGAGGCCGTCAGGATCTAAGGCTGCAAAAGACATAGAGAATTGGGGAGTCGTGTCTGTTCTGGGTATTTTGGTTTGAGACTGTCCCTAACCCTTACGCTCCAAGCCCCAAACCCTAAACTTTAGGGCTTTGGGTGCAAGGGTTTGGAGGCTTCAGCCATACTAAAGCCGCATCCAAAGAAAGGACCTAAGGAGACTCCAGCGGTAAGAGTTCTGGGCTTGGCTTGATGTCAATTCAATAGTACGTCAAAGAGGGTTTAGGGCCTTGGTGCATTTGCAGTCTCTGACTCGGGGGTAAAGATATCCAGTAGACCTAGAATTTTGAAAGGACTCCGTGCGAGCGCGGGCAGGTGACTATGCTACTGCCCTGCTCAGCTGCTCTTGCACAACGCTACTGTCACCACCTCTGCCAGCAGCACCCCAGGTCTTGGCAAACCCGTCGCCAAGAAGGGCAACAAAAGCGAAGTCAGTAGCTTGGATCTGCTGCACATTCTTCAGCTGGTCATGCACGGAACTATCGTCACCACCACGGACAGCATCGCCCCAGGTCGCGACGGAGTCATCACCGAGAACAGCAGCAAATGCGGACGGAGAGGTTTGGATCTGCTTCACCTTAATCAGCTGACCTTGCACAGCACTGCTGTCACCACCATAGAGAGCATCACCCCAGGTCACAACGGAACCATCACCACGAATGGCAGCAAAAGCACCGCCAGAGGCTTGGATCTTCTGCACATCATGCAGCTGGTCTTGCACAGCACAACTGTCACCACCGTAGCGGGCACCACCCCAGGTCACGACTGATCCATCGCCCAGAATGGCAGCAAATGCGTCCACAGTAGCTTGGATCTGCTTCACGTTCTTCAGCTGACTCTGCACAGCGCTGCTGTCCCCGCCATGGCGATCACCACCCCAGGTCACGACCGATCCATCAACAAGAATGGCAGCGAAAGCACCGCCGCGAGAAGCCTGGATCTGCTGCACGTTCTTGAGCTGATCCTGCACGGCACGGCTGGCACCACCACGATGACCATTGCCCCAGGTCACGACGGATCCATCACAAAGAATGGCAGCAAAGGCTTCTGCAGTGGCTTGGATCTGCTTCACTTTAATCAGCTGACGCTGCACAGCGCTACTGTCGCTGCCATAGTGAACACCGCCCCAGGTCACGACTGATCCATTGCCAAGAATAGCCGCAAAAGCACCGTCAGAGGCTTGGATCTGCTGCACATCATGCAGCTGGTCTTGCACAGCACAACTGTCACCACCACGATGACGATCGCCCCAGGTCACCACAGATCCATCACCAAGAATGGCAGCAAATGCGGACGGAGAGGTTTGGATCTGCTGCACATTCTTCAGCTGATCCTGCACAGCACTGCTGTCACCGCCATGATGAGGATCACCCCAGGTCACGACCGATCCATCACCAAGAAGGGCAGCGAAAGCAAAGTCAGTAGCCTGGATCTGAGAGACGTTTTGCAGCTGACCCTGCACCTCGCTACTGTCGCCACATCCATCAGAACCCCAGGTCGAGACAGTTCCATCACCAAGGATGGCGGCAAAGGCAGTTTGGCAGGATTGAACTTGAATTCGGTTTATGTGCAAGGTTAGTGCATCGCCATCGTGGACACCGGCATGCTTGATGGTTGCCAAGGCATTGAGGACTCTTCCAGACGAGTCCAGCAGCCGCCCGCGTCCGACTCCAAGCATGCTCTGTGCCCGAAGTTTCAACACTTCCACGGCCTCATCTAAACCTGCTTGCACGGAAGCTGCCCTGCCACTGAGCAATCGAACTTCCACAACGATCGACATGTTGCACACCTGTTGTGCCCTAAACAGCGTTCTGCTGACATCTGCTCAATGTAATCCATCCCCGTTTGGCCTGGGTTTGATGTTTCAAATGCTTCAGGCATAAACACTTGGGTGTGGTGCTTCAGACTTCTGTGAAGGGTTCGAGTTGACAGCAGTAGACACTTGAGGACTTCAGGTTTCGGATGTAAACTGCGTAGTGTGTCCGTGCGAGACCACGGTCAACCATGATGCTCTGTCTAATGTCACGACACAGGGCTCGCTGGTGTCAAGGCATGTCATAGTCATAGCCCTGGCACAGAACTCCTGAGCAGCTGACTCGCACCGATGTCCCAAACATTCAGCAAGCTCACTTGACAGCAGCTCAGGCAACGAAGCTATGAGCCCCAACACCTGGAACGGCAGGCAGCGGCCTGCTCCACATGTTGGTGCATGACTCGCGTCTGGGTCACGACCTTCGGGACGTGCACGACAGTCTCCTTTCAGAAAAGGGCGGTATGCGCATCGCTCGTCCATTGTGTGGTGTGTGGTGTGTTGTTTTTGTGTTGTGTGTGTGTGTGTGTGTGGGTGTTGTGTGTGTTGCGTGATGTGTTGGTTGTGCGTTGTTTGTGTGTGTGTGTGTGTTGTGTGTGTGTGTGTGTTGCGTGTGTTGAGTGCTTGTGTGTGTCGTGTGTGCTGTGTGTGTGTGTGTGTTGTGTG